GCCTCTTCCAGGGCTCGTACCTTGTCCAGGTACGAAGCCAGACGGTCGTTCAGATTTTGCATAGTTATCTTTTCATTTCCAGAGAGAAGGCCATCACCACCACCAAAGCCCCCACCGACTTCAAACCCTCCACCGAAGCCGGCCCCTCCGCCAAAGCCAGCCCCTGCGCCGAAGCCGTAGGCTGCGCCACCGCCGAAGCCGCTGTAGCCACCTCCGTAGCCACTACCAAGCCCAGAACAGAGGCCACCACCATATCCCCCTCCCGCAGAGGAGACGTACCTCGCGGAAGAGATGGAGACACCCCTGCCACCGGATCCTCCGTGGATGCTCGGAGCTCGGCAGGTGCCTCCCACTCGGACCGAGGAAAGGCGAGAGCTGCTGCTTCCACCCCCCCCAAAGCCACCACCGTAGGTAGAGGAAGAGCTCTGCATGAAGGAAGTAGCCATAGCTGCAGCACAGGAAGGCGCTAAGGTCAGTTATTCAGCTTGGTAAGAAGAGGAAAGTATGTGCCTTCGCTGCCCTGGTGCTTCTTTTATATCCTCAAGACAGGGTGTCAGGAGACAAACCCAACTGGCAGCCCTCCCTCCAAAATTCCTCCTCCCTAGAGGTGAGGCCAATTATGATGACATTCCTCACCAACAGAGCTGGCTGTACATCTCAGGGGCTAGGGCTTGGGGTTTCTTTTTTTTTTTTTAATTAAACAAAAGGGATGATTCAGATGAGTGTTTTTTCTTCAGGCTATAGTTCTGAAACTTGGATTTACTTCTCTGACATTTAAGAATGGAAAAACAAAGCGAGTTCAACCACACCCACTTACCCATTTACAGCAATCACCGCGGCTATTTTAAGAAATTCAACTTTTTGTAAAAATGAAGTCAAATTCTCCTTTCATTGAAAAATGTGCAATCATCGGTTCATCTCCCCATTATTTCTTCTTTTCTAGCCATAGTTTTTCCCATTAAAAATTTGGAATTGAAGTTGATATGCTCTTATTTCTGTTCTTTGCTTGAACTAGTGTTCAGACTTTAGAGACCGAATTTTTAGTACCAAAGGCATATAATGATAGCATTGCACGAGGAGCAATTAGTTTGCATCAACGTGCAAGGAACCGTGGGCACACTTAATTTACTAATGCTTGTGAAAGAGTGAGGAAGGGCAATACGAGATTGAAATAAATCAGTTAACAGGAGAAATGTGAGAGGAGTAACTTCCCGTCGCTTTTGAAGAACGTAAACAAATTTGGTTTAAGATGAAACTGTTCAGATAGCAAGAAATGTGCTTAATGCCAAGATGCAGTACGAAATGAATTATTGAAAATAAGATTCGAGAAGCACTTGGAAGAGTCTTCTTGATCCTTCGTTTAAAGTGGGAGTCTGAAACAGCAACATATTTCGGATCTAATAAATCGCTAGGGAACCTCAAAAGGCAGCAGTTCAGTAACGCAGCTCTGCTCATGCTGTGTAATTATGGGAAAACGGGTTTGGGAGATTTTAAAGGCAGTATTAACTGCTTATTTACCCTGCCGGGGTGTGTCCCTGGGGACAATGTGTATGTGGAGTGTGGCAATAGTGTGGAGTTTGAAGAGCGAGCCCCATTCTCTTTGCGCAACAAGGTGACACGCTTCGGGTGAAAGCCACAAGTGGCAGCTGAAGAAGTAGGGGTATGGGAAGACAGTAAATGGGTACTGGGGCACGTAAGGGTTGGAGGAAACGGGGCGTTGAGAGGGGGGACAAAGGCAGGGACGAAGTGAAGGTGGGAGGAACTTCCTCTGGTCTGTAGCTCAGAACCACCAAACCTGCTCTAAAAGAAAACTTGGAAATAAAGATGCGAAGGGCCGTGTTTGGTAACAGCAGAATGGGGAGCGTTGGGTTTCGGGGTTTTTGACAGCACATGTCAACAGAAAACGAGCTTAGAATTCAGGGTGGGTGATGTCAGATCAACCGAGGCTGCTGGAATAACCCGAGGGGTTTGCTGAAATTTGCAGCCGGTTTGCAATTTCAGCGCGGCCTCGGGAACGCGCAGCCTTGCTACGAGGGGCAGATGCGTACTCGGGGGGAAAGAACCGACCGTGTGGCTGTGACACGCGCTCAACGGCCTCGCTCTGAAAATGTCCACTCACTCTTCAGCTTGGGTGGAGGAGAGGGGTGTTTCACAGTTGTGGAAACATGTTTCCATCTGAACCTGGCCCCTTGCCACAGCAGTTCAGTTTTGCTGTGGGGCATGTTAATGGTTCCGTAGCTTGCCAAATCTGTGTAGCTCCGAGAGTTAGTATCTCAGCTACAAGTTGGGACAAACTCTCCTAAAGATAAAAAGGTTTCTTTTAAGACCCCTGTAATGTAAATATCCGGAGGGCTGCACGCCTCTAGGGTTTAACTCTGAGGGATCCCACAATAAGCAAGATCAAATTCCATTAAAAAAAAAAAAAAAAAAAAGTCTAGAAAAATCAGTTCTAGAAAACACCACAAACTTTAACAGGAAACTTTGGGCATTTTTCATTCTTTCACTCAGTCTTTACAACTTCTTTGGAAGCTTGCTGGTGAAATACGCTTTGCTGCTCTGTCAAGTGCCCTCAAGATTGTTATCGGACGAACCCTTATAACACCCAGATGACAGATACAGAGCTGTTTATTCCCTGTAGAATATTTGCCTTTGGGAAAAACAGAAATAAACCAAGCAGCCAATAGAGATTACGTCTAGAACATAATTCAGAAAAAAACCCATAGCGGCAGGGATGCTGTGGCCTTTTCAGTTTTCTGTAAACCATCAAACTCGCATCCTTAGGGTTTGTCCCCCGCGGTCGCGCACGTGTAAATGCGGAGTGCAGCACTTGCAGGCCTGAGGCTAATCCCTGCTTCGTCGTCTTCGCTGTGTGTCCCTTCACGGTAAACAGCTACTTCTGAACAGTTCCTAATGCGTTACTAGAAACTGTCAATAGCATTTTCAAACCAAGGAAAGGTGCCTCAGGGAAGCCGCGTGAAGTTTGGAGGTGCTCAGTCACGGATCCTTTATTTGCAGCTCACTTCAGCTGCGGCGCTTCACACGTATTTTTCTAAAGGGAAAACAATTTCACTTTTGAGGGCTTAAGCACACTGACTGTGGTGAAAGTGGAATGGTAAATAAGTCTCTACCTCTCCACCGAGAGCAGCCTGCTGGCAAATGCTTGTGCGAATTCAGCATCCGCTCACTCATCGCGTTTATTTATCTCGATTCGTTGGTTTATCGCTGTCTCTGGGTTGAAGACTTCTATACCAAAACCTACATGCTTTATGGCATTTTATAACAGGCTATGTAAGGCAAAGCCTGCCTCAGTGAAAAATCACATACATTTGGGTATTTACATGAATAAAAAGTTTAGGAATCAAGTGTTTTGATTAATATTTCATAACTGAATTTCAACAAGTATGTGAAAAATCATCTGGCTCTAACTCAGTTCCAGGTCTAGGTATAATTCTATATACAGTTGTATTCTTTGCAATGATTATTTCTTCATTTTAGCTATGTTATAGCTGTCATTTAAAAAAAAAAATCAGTTACGTTTCTCTATAAATTCATGAGGTTTGGAATGCTTCCAGATTCATAACCTCTTGGGACTTTAAAGGAACATCTCCAATCAGGGCTGTCTCTCTCCTGGTGGAGATCCGTGTTGCTCTCATCATTCTTCATTTAACTCTTCTCTGCAGCTGGAACGTGAACTTAAGTTTACAAATTTTTCTCCTTGTAGTCTGTACAAGGAAACTGAAGCCTATTACCTGCTGAAGTAAAAAGCTGTATTCTGTTCTCGCTACCTTCACTCTGAGATTTCTTATCCAACGCCTTGACACCCAGTTTCACCCTTTGCGCACTACTGAGTGGTGCTTGCGGTGCGTAAGCTCCTCGATTTGTCATGTCTGACAGAGCCCTCCTGGAAGACATCCCCTGACATGCCTGTGCTGGGCAAAACTCTTTCATTCCTTCTGCGAGGGGATTAACGGCGTTGACACACTTTCGCCTCTCCTTTTGGGAGGACAGAGAGTTCCATTCAAGAAGCAGCTTGTTTATCATCGTAGTCTTTGCTGATAAAACCATCACTCAGATATTACGAACACTTCTTTTTTTTTTTCTGAACAAAACTCTAAAATGATAGTCTGAGTGATTTTATATTAAATGTTTCACCAGAAATCCTTCATTACCCTACAAATATGGAACAAAATCAATAAAATTATAAACTAAACATTAGGCTATAAACCCAAGAATTCTAGCCTTTCCAAGATTCAAGTCTCCGAAGCTCCCAATTTCTTCAGCAGACTTTATGAATGAATTCGATTCTTGGGATGGTTGGAAATGAAATTATTGACTTCTGGGGGCCCCGACTGGAAGCGATTACGCTTCGAGTTTCAGCTGGGATAACATCCTTTCCATGGCATGAGAAGGAAGGTGGCTAAAGTCGGTGCTAAAGGTTCGTTACCTCTGTAGGAACTGGGAGAGTGAGCGAAGATACCTCACGGCTGTTCCTCACTCCTATTTGTTTCTGCAGGAGTTATCTTCAAGTGATTTTATCAGCTTTGTATTTTACCCTAAAAACCCGTCTCCCAGCTCGTCTTACCAGCATCGTTTAACATCTCACTGCTACTGCTCCACAGCCATTGCAGTTAGAAACAGAACTCACTCCTGAGTTCCCCCCCCGCGGAGGGATTGGGGGTGCTGCTGCCTCCACAGTCAGAGCTCCTGCCGGCCGGAGGAGCTGGAAGAAATGGGAGAGGGAGCTCACGCCACCCACAGCCCCTGGGAGCATTAAAACCCAACTTCAGGAACAATATCACGATAACTCCAAGTCAGATTGCAAGAAGAAGATCATCTTTATTAGAGTAGATACAGCAATTCAGTGCGTAAGAGAACTAGAAATAATCGAAGAGCTAACCCAGCTCGCCAACTAATCACTACAAAATGGATGAATCTACCTAAACTTTGTGTGGCCAAGAGTTTTCTGTGCTTTAAGAGAGCAGTTTCCAGCAGTCTAGAGGGATTCCCCTCCGATTCCTGTGTGCTGTCTGCTTTTTCTCGTCTTGAAGATGACATTTGCAGGACGCTCAGCATTATTTTCCATCTGCCATCTTGTCTCTCTTGTCTACAGTGATACGGAGAGAAGAACAGCGATTACTGCAGCATAACACACACGAGACCACTCCGCAGTGGGCGCTGAGCTTTACTTTATGTCTCGTCTCTCATCCCCTTGTCTCCAAAGTGTTCTCCTTCCTAGCACTGATTTGAATCATACATCACTTTTACAATACAGCTGACCTTTAAAAGCTCAAGGCAAGTTTTACTTGCGTGTTCATACAATTCCCCTGAGCTGGCCAAGCTTAAATTTCTTGTATCCTTTCATCTGGGGGAATGATTAGGCACTTTGTGTTTTACTTAGCCTTTACCGTAGCACAGTCTGAGATTTTTGTCTGATGCCTAACATCATTTAATGGCTGAAATTTGTTAAATTCTACCCAGTCATCATTTGCGACTTAGTAGATTTTTTTTCTGTGACATGAATGAGTGCAGCAGCCCAGTCTCTAGGACAGACACAACTACCACAATGTTTGCATATTTTCTGTTAGAAAATAAAACTTCCTTGGCTTCTAAAAGGTTTCCTGAAAGAGAAAGAATTCTTACCGGCAGTTCCAGAGAGGGGGCCAAATATCCTGTAGAACAAAGAGAGAACAGTTGAAAGGTGAAGTAGAACATCCAGTGCTCATGAGATGAGGATGTAGGGAAGCAAATTCTCTATCAATCGGGTACATTTTGTATACAGAGGGAGAAGAGATGGTCATCAACTTGCTCCCCCTTGCAGCTCAGGAGAGGGAATTGTAGGAAACATGTTTTTAAACAACTGGAAGGGGAAGAGACAATTATGGAAAAGATGGAACAGGGGAAATCAAAACCTTCCAACTCCTCCCTGTGAGGCACTTTCCTCCTTGGGACTCTGTGTGAAACGAGAGCTGTGCTCCCGCTTCTCTGCAGAGCATCTGCTTCTACACTGATCCTGTGGGGCAGGAGCTACTGAACCGGTGGTGACAGGAAGTTTATGGGACTTTGGTGTTAATCTTTCTACTCTGTAAACCAACACTGACTGCACCGTGTTTCCTGAATGTCAAGCAGCTGATGATTAGTAACGGCTTTAGCTGGTAGTCGCATGGGATCTCTTGCACTGCTTGTCAGTTCACCTTTTTGCTTAGAAGCTCTCTGAGGTACTCACTCGATGTAAACGGGAATTGTAACATTTCCAGCTCTACCGTGGTCCAGAAAAATTAAAAATTTTCGAACCCTGGGGAGTATCTGAAGTTGTGTTTACTGTGGTGCACCACGGCATGGTCAGACTTTGAGAGGCGAAGCCAAAAGGTTTTCTGCAGTGAGTTACTTACTGGGACTCCTGGCCTTCCAGGAGTTGTCGGTAAGTAGCGATCTCTTGCTCCAGTCGAGTCTTGATATCCATGAGGATCTTGTATTCGCTGTTCTGGCGCTCCAGATCGGCGCGGAGCTCAGCCAGCTGGTCCTCGATGCTGCCGATCAGGCCCTGGATCTGCGCCAGCTGGGCGCCGTAACGCCCTTCCGTGTCTGCCAAGGTGCTTTCCAGCGCGGCTTTCTGAGGGCAGGGCGGTTGGAGGGAAACCACAGAGAGGTTGCTGCTAAATGCAAGGCTCCTCGTGGGGGGAGGGATTCCTGCCCATTTTGGTAGGGGGGGGTGTTTCACGCAGTGCAAATCTGAACGTACCATGCTGAGCTGGGACTGAAGTTCTATTTCCAGCCCTTGGAGGGTGCGTCTCAGGTCGGTGACTTCGGACTTGCTGCTCTGCAGCTGCTCGGTATTGACGGCTACCTCGTGGTTCAGCTCTTCGGTCTGAAACAGGGAAAGCGTGACACGAGAAATACGGGGCCTCTGAGCAGAAGTCATACGGCTTTCGCAGCGGTTCTCCCTGTGTTTCAGTAACGGTTTTGTTTGTCTGGTGGATTTTTTTTTGGTTAGTAGTTGTGTAGTATGGAATTTTCTCTACCTTGGTTTGGAACCAGGCCTCGGCATCCTTCCTGTTCTTGTCAGCCATGTGCTCGTATTGGTCTCTCATATCAGCCAGGATCTTGGACAGGTCAATGCCTGGAGCAGAGTCCAGCTCAACACTGACTTGGCCGGCCACTTGCCCTCCCAGGGCGCTTATTTCCTGTGTGGACACAGCAGAGGGAGACAAAAGAAGGTACAGTCAGAAACTGAAAACATCATGAACTCTCCATTCTTTCTTCAAAGACTAAGGTCTGGCTGACTCCCCTTAAATACTCCCAGGGCTATATTTAGTTTTCCAGTCTACACAGAAATCTTCACTGTTGGAGAGCCCAGGGCAATCCTGGGGGACCCCACATTTCCACACGCTGTCTCTCTAATCTCCCTTTCTAATGTGTTTCTTGGTTTGGGGTTTTTTTTTTGTGTTTGTTTGTTGTTTTTATTTTTACCTCCTCATGGTTCTTCTTGAGGTAGGCCAGCTCCTCCTTTAAGTTTTCAATCTGCAGCTCCAGGTCTGTTCTAGCCAGGGTCAGCTCATCCAGGACCCTGCGCAGGCCGTTGATGTCGGCCTCCACGCTCATGCGAAGAGCTTGTTCGGTTTCAAACCTTAAAGAAGCAAACCAAAATGGTTCAGGTTAGCTGATTAAGCCAGCCCACCATGACACACATTATTTGCTATAAATGCATCCGGTTTTGTAGGATTTATGATGTACCCAGTGTTGTCGAGCATTAAACCTTTCTCCACATGTTTTACACAACATAAAATTTTCCATGGTGCAGATGGTGCTTTCAGCAAATACTCAAAGGGCTGAACTGCAACGACAGGATCAGACCGGTGTTCACACAGAGGTTTTATAGGCATTCCTTTCTTTTTTTCGCAGCCACTGCCCTTTGCCTGCTCAAGAGCCCTTTTTCCTTTCAGAAATTACTCACTTGGTTTTGAAGTCGTCGGCAGCCAGCCTGGCATTGTCAATCTGCAAGACAATCTTCGAGTTGTCAATGGTGGCATCAAGGATCTGCAGAACAATCAGAGTTCGTTGCTGAGGCTGAAACAACCATATGAACTTCTTTCCTGGTCTGAAGATGAAAGAGTTAAGATTCTATTTCATCTGCAGCTACACCAAATAAAAGTGTATTTTGGTCTCAGTAGGGAAGTGCCAATGATCTATAGCAAACACGTAGCACAGGTTTATCACAGTGCTTGTCGGTTTATCACATGATTGTCGGTTACGGACAGGTCCTCTTGCTCTGGGCCGGCACATGAAGTGTCTCAGCCCACAGTGAGACAAAATTACGGGCTGGGTACGGGGTACCCCTGGGTATTAGAGGGACGGGCCTTTGGTGAGTCAGGGGGTAGGTGATGGTTTAGGACCGAAGCAAGAAACCCGTTTCCTGGAGAGATGCAAAGGAAGCAAAGTCTCTGCAGCCCCTTCCTGGCAGAATTTGTTCTCATTTCAGATTTTCTTAACAGCGGGAAGTGATTACAAGGTCTGTGTGATTTTAAAATAAACGGCGTGTTTGTGTTTTGTAAGCACTGTGGGTTTAAATCACTTTTGTGTCGTCTTTGAACGCATTTTTGTTTGCTAGAATATCCAGGGTAGTGGTTATTGATTCTTCTAATGCATCCTGAAAGCCTCTACAGGAAATTTTGTTTATTTAGAAGTAATCCCTGTTAATTTTTACCTAGAAAGCATGTCTCTTTTGCCTGCCACTCTTAAAACTCAAAAGGTCATCCACGAAACCAGCTGGAACAACATTTTCTCTCCTCTAACTAAGGGGAGTAAAAGGCAGGAGGGAAAAGAACACTAAAAAGAAAATCCAGAATTCTGCCTTTACAGTTTGTCAAATCAGTAGAGAATGTGAATGGGTTGAAGCAAGGAGAAAGTGAACTGCGTGGGAGCGGTCACGAACTTCAAGCTGAACTGTGAAAACTAAACCTCAAGTTTTCTTTCATTTATTTGCAGAGTGTAATCAGCGACTCTGTACACCTTCTGGGGCGTGTATCATCGCAGAGCGATCTGTTATCAGGAACCCACGGGCTGTTGGGGCAAATCCTGCGTTCATACACGGCATGGATTACTTCACGTCTGCCTTCTCCCATAAGCCAAACCTTTCAGAACTCTCATTTCAATTCCAAACTTAAGGATGTGAAATACGAAGAGAAGTAAATGCAGGGTGATGAAATCCTGAGCCGCCGTCTTCACATTTACAAAACTGTGCTTAACCAATTTTCGGTTTTACTATTGAAGCAGCGTGTGTGTGTGTGTGTGTGTGTGTGTGTGTGTGTGTGCCTCTGAAGTTTTCAAGCTATATGGCAGGCAACAGATCACAGAGATGGGCAGGCTGCTCTCATCGTTTGGCTCTATCAGTATATATGTGGTCATACATGTGTATATGACCAGCATGTGTGTGTATGGATCTGTGTGTATGTGTATATACACATATATATATATAGTTAAATATTTTATATATATTTATATATATAAATTCTTAAATATATATATATAATATATAGTGTATATATATATAACATATATTCTTAAATATATTCTTTTATATATATATATATTGTTAAAAGCAAATATTATCGGAGAATTAAGCACTAAGGCATCTCTGCCTGTTTTGTACATTCTCTTAGCTAACATTTTAAGAAGTCGACAGTTCCATGCTGATGATTTTCCACCCCGCCCAGTCACTGCATATTTATTTCATCTTTCTCTCCCTCCCGTAACCTGCAATGCCTTCTGGGTGTTCTCCCAGTGAAGTTTTTCTCTTTGGGTTTTTACGCTTCTTTTTTAAGCGCCAACCCAAGGTGATTTTTTAATGAATATTAACCACCTACCTTGTCCCGAAGGTCTTCAATAATCTTGTAGTAAGGACTGTAGTCCCGAGCTGGGCCTGGTCCTTGCTTTTGGTACCAGTCTCGGATCTTAGTTTCAAGATCAGAGTTGGCCTCTTCCAGCGCACGCACTTTCTCCAGGTAAGAAGCGAGGCGTTCGTTCAGGCCCTGCATGGTCGCCTTTTCATTTCCCGAGAGGAGGCCGTCGCCGCTACCCGAACCACCACCAAAACCACCACCAAAGGTCCTGCTAAAGCTGCTCCCATAGCCACCGCCCAGGCCGCTTCCTGGGCCAGATGAGACAAATCTAGCAGAAGAGACCGACACCCCCCTGCCACCCGAGCCCCCGTGGATGCTGGGAGCCCGAAAGCAACCTCCGCCGGCACGGACCGAGGAGCTGCCGGGCCGCCCTGCCACGGAAGAAGTCATTTGCCTGAAGCTGTAAGTGGCCATGGTGAGAAATACCAAGGGCCTGCAGCTCACGCCGTTTGTGATCCCGAGGCAGCAGCGTGTGCTCCGTTCCCCCACCCCACCTCTTTTATGCCTGTGACAATGGGAGTTGTCTCCAGAACGTGTTATCTGAGACCCGTGGAATTTATCAGCCTTGAGCCTTCTGCCAACACGGCGATTCCTCTTATTGGTCAGTTGTGATGCAGTGGGCTGTTGCTTCCCCAAATACCTTCACGCAAGGGAGCCAATTCCCTCCCCCCCCCGGCCGTTGCCTCTTGAAGCAAAAGGTGGGATTCGGCAGAGGCGTTGCCCGGCTGAGGGGAGCGTCCATAAATCTACTTACAGTTTACCTACGTGGAAACAAAAGGGCTGGGAGTGCCCAGCCCTGCTGCAGCCAGCGCTGCGGCCATGGCGGTCACACGACAGCCTCCTGCAGGTAATCTCAGGAGGGAGTTTTAATACAGAGTGATTAAGTTAGTAATTGATAGACGGATAACAGAGCTCGAAAGGAGCCCAAAGGGTGAACAATATGTGTGATGGAACTGTTCCCACCCCTCTGTTTTCCTTATTTCCCTGAGAAAAATTCCTCTTTCAGAATTAACATTTTCACTGTTTCGTTGCTCTCAGCTCCTTCTGGGCTGACAGAGAACATGCCTCGTCTGAACGAGTCTTGTTTTCTACAGAAGCAAGAATCCTGTTCAAGGAACCGTAGCTGTGTTCGTCGCAGGGATGGCGTTAAACTTCCCTGAGTTCGCAGGGAGCGAGCAGCGACGGAAACAAGTGCCCCATGATACTCGTCGTCCTGGCATGCTACCGAAAGAGAGAAGTAAACAGAAGAAACGTAATCCCTTAGCCTTCCAGTCTTTGAGATTCATGAGAACGTTATTTCTAAAATGTTCAAGTCCAAGATGGATTTTCAAAAGCAGTGTTGCTTTTGTTACCGCAGGCTCCTCCTCCACGAGCATCGCTAACATGGGAGTGGATCCTCACATCTTTTATTTGATGCTGTTTCTCTCCCTTGGCACCCCTCGCTCCCCCCCAGACCTCTGGCACTCCCCAGGAGAACTGCTCTGAAGGAGGAGGGGCTGCGCTGACCTACCAGCGCTTCCAGCTTTCAGCGAGCAGCCAGGCCTGGGCAGAAATTCTGCCACTGACAAGTGCTTCCGCTAAACGGAACCTTTGGAGCACGAGATACGTGCTTTGACGTTTCAATGAGAGATCCATTTGATACCAAAATTTAAAAAAATTAAAGATAAGCCCGATGAAATGCATGCTCTGTGCGAGGGCCCGTCTGTCTTTCTGTACCCTTTAAAAACGCGTCAGGCACTTGAGAGCAGGCGTTAGCGCTGTGCTCGCTTTGTGCAGAGAGGAGTATCGAACCGCGGGGCAAACACCGGCGGGGCAAAAGAACAAACATACAGGCTGGAAGCTGGCCAAGGCACCTGTTCCAGCAGCCCCATTGGCCTGTTTCTAATTGTGAGGCTGGATCAGGAAGAGGAATTCTGCCGTGACTCAGGTGCAGAACGTATCGCCGGAGATACACCCTATACGTGCCACGCTTCACCTGCCCCTGGTGCTGCAGCCCGGGGACATCACGGCTGAGGTCTCGTCCTGCAGAGGCTCCAGCTGGCACAGTAAATCCCTACAGCCTTTCCTAAGGGGTACAGAGGACGCTTCTGACTGCCAAGGGCACCCTGGTCGTTCCTTCTGTAGATCTCAATGTCCCGTTCAGCCCTGGGTAGGAAAAACCTGCCCAGCAGGTAACTGTTCCAAGTCTGGTGAATAGCTGAAATAATAGTATCAGAAAGTTACCGTCTGCCTGCGGACAGAAGGCAAGCTACAGAAGAACAGTTATTTTATTGTTAAATACTGAAGTCCATGGTTAGAGCATAAAGGACATAAGTCCGTGTGCTTTTCTTCACTGAACAGAAATGCAAGAAGCTTAAAGCCGAACAGGTCCCAGGGCATTCAGATTTGTCTCCTGCTGCCAGGAGAGAGGAGCATCCCTCCAGGCACTCCCACACCAGGACCTCAGAGCAGTGCATTTTGGGGTTTTGCAAAATAAAACGCACATTTATCATCCTGCATAATATGTTAGGGTGCAGTTCATGAGAACCGGGGTCCGGAAGGCCTCTGCATTCTCTCTGAAACCCCTTGGGTAAAAGCAGCGACGATCATGTTAAACTGTGCGAGTGTCGATAACGGGCTCTTTGCTTCAACATGCAGGGGAGAATTTCCCAAGGAGCGAACTGCGATTCTTCCTGGGAGTTTGGAAATACGTCTGAAAGCGTCAGGAGGGGAAAAGCTGGGGGGACACTGTCAAACGGAGTAACTATTTAATCTTATTTATACCGCCAAATATATCTTAAGCTTCTAGTAGCAAATCAGTCCCTCGTGCAGCGTTTTGACTGAAGTTGAATTCAGAGTTTCCAGAAAGGTTCTGATTTTAACTTTCCATCTCTGTTTTACTTCAGTGGCTGCCAGTGTTTGTTTTTCTTGAGACTTCCTGAAGGTGATAACGTGCTCAAATGCTTGGGAAAGCCTTTAGCGTGGCGAAGTGTTTGCTCAAGAAAGTGCTTTTATCTTCTGCATAGTGGTGGGTTGTTTGTGTGTTGTTTGTTTTTTTTTTCTCCTACTACAATAGACCTAATTTATCGTAGGCTCAGCTTTTCCCTAGAAGAACTATAAGGAGTGGTCAACAAAGGGAATTTCCTTTATCTGCAACTTATCTGGGAGTAAGGGAGACACATTCATTAAAGTGGAGTCACCCAGGGACTGGTGGAAACAGTCCCCGCCCAAGCTCCTGGCTGAGATCCGCTCCTGCTTTACCTTTATCTGCTCTGCTAGTCACTGCTGCTTTCTAAAACTCTGCGTTATTTTTTCAGGGTATTTTCGTCAGTTGTCCTGTAAACCACTTTTTATTGCCCTTGAGTGACACTGGCACATGCTTCACTCTTCTCCCATCCTGATAAATTTGCTTCCAGGGGTTGCTAATGCAATTACAGTTAAATGAACTCTGTGAACGTTTTAACTTACTTTATGGGTGCCTGCAGTTCCACAGATGGACGAATGAGCAAAGTCAGGTTGCTATTACTCTGAATTTTCCTTTTAAATCTTCAAGTGTTTGCCCGTTCTGATAATTCGTCCTTTCTACCTCAGCTTCCATCAGTGAAAATGTGCTTCTTGATTCTTTTGTGTGCACATTTTCAGTCTTCATCTCTTCTCCTGTTTGTCAAAACCTTGGCTGCCCCACCCTACCGATCGTGTCATATGCCCTCTTAAAACCACGACTTTGTATGTTTTTCTCTCCTGTTGAAGATCATAGGCGTGAAATGTTGAGTCTCTTTAATTCAAACTCAAAATTTTCTATTTTTCCTTTTAACTTCCTCATGGGAAGTACCGGTGATAACAAGATCTGCAGCTGGCACTAAAAGAAGTGTTGAACATCTGCCTGAGACACAATTCTTAGCTTTCTTGCTTTTATATCACATCATTAATCTCTCTTTTTTTTTTTTTTTTTTTTTTTTTTTTTAATCCTCACAAACCTTGCATTGCCATATATTCACCAAATGTGCCAACAGGTTCAAAGACAAGAATGTTTATGTGCTGAAAAGGCAGGTCCTAGCGCGTGCACAGACAGCTGTTAACCGTTTAAAAAGAGGAGCAGAGAGCAACACTTTTAATTTTCCCAAAATCACTATTTTTGCAAAGTAGAGGGGATGTGATTTGGTGAAGAGAAATTCATGTGGGTGCCCTGATTTCTGCGCTGAAAGAGGTGAGAAGTAAGGTCATATAAGGGTTCAGGTTTAAAAGGAATTGTAAGACACAAGAGAACTCATTTTTATCCAGGGGTCTGGTTCTGTCATGGCAGGAAATAAACAGCGGATCGGTGATTTGAGCTGAACTTGGAAGCTATGGACTCCTGTTCAGTTACAGGCTGCTTTAGTGATGTTGGGACGTGTCATTTAATTTCTCGGTATTTGTCATTTATATAATATTTGAATAGATTGGTATGAGGAAAATACCTAAAAGATCACGAAGAACTCGTAACTGGAAGCAGTGGAAATACTTGGTAAATACTTGAAACTGGATGTGGTGTGTACTTTTGGAAATACCTCTTTACTCTCTGTTTCCCTGGAAACATAAATAGCTTTAAACCCTTGATTTCTCTATCAGTCCAGAACTGTAATGATAATGCACATCAAGGAGTAAAGCACCCGAGACAGGAAAATAAAATACAGCATGATTAAAAATGGTGTGGGAAGGAAAGATCGGTTAGGAGGCCAAGCCCTGACGAGTGAAGGACAAGTCACTGGGTATATTTTTACACTTCCTTTAACCGGTTATCGGGTTGGTAAATCTCAGCAAGGTATGATGGGGCTGGAAACTATTATTAAGAGCCAAACGTCTGACTGATGAGAGGCTGTGTTCCAAAAGTCAGGTTTCTGCAGGCAGCAGTGATAAAAGCACCTTAGGGGCCACTGCCAAACCCGGAGAGACTAAACCTGTCCCAGGCCTCGGAGGAACCGGGGCCGTGTCGAGTGCTTGCTGTGCCAGCCACGGCGCAGCGGTGACTCACGCTCTAGGAGGGGGCCTGCAGCTACTCAGAGGCGTTTTCCCGTAGGCCACATGGAAAATTCCTGCTCAAAACCAAAAAAAAAAAAAAACAAAAAAAAAAAAAAAAAAAAAAAAAATCCCAGATTCGGTAGAAGTGGGTTTCACGGTACAGAGGGACGTGAGCTTTTTTATTCTGTTCGTGTCTGTAAAATGCTTGGAGAGCATATTTGTATTATTTATGCTTATGTGCTCGTATATTTGTAGGCCTATATGTATATATTTTTATTTATATACTTATAATTTCTCTTGCTAATTTTATAAAAATATATTTCTGCTCATAGCGATAAGCCACGGCTTCCAGGAAGGGAAGAGATTTTACTGTGGAAGCGCTAAACAGGTTCTGGCTCAGATTAGAAACCCAGGAGCTCCATTCTCTGCTGATAGATCCTGCCAGCTGGATTTGGGCTTTCCTCATCCTGTGGGTGCTTTCATGCTGGTTTTTTGCTTGGTTCTCCAGATCTTTGTTAGGCTCAGTGAGAAAGTCCAACTATCTTGCTCCACAAGGTCAAGTCCTGCGGCCACGGGTGTGAAGCGCTGCTGCCGGGGCGGCGTTTTTAAACCCGGCTGTTCCCATGGCAGCTGTCAGCTCACGGGAACGTGTTCTGCAGCCCCGGTCTGTCTGCCCGGGATGACTGTGCACCTTGAGGGAAAGCGAAGGGTATCTCTGTCTACTCATCAACAGTTTGCTACTTTTGCAAAAAAGAATAAACAGGCAAATTTCAGGGTATCTCTGGGGGGGGGGGGG